CCTGTATCGACTTAATTATTTATTGTGAATTTTCTAGTATATCCTCTGTTATAATGAATGCTTTAACATCGCGTGTATTTCGAAGAAACATTTCTATTTTGTAATTAATGTATGTACCCCAATTCAGGTCAGGCCAATGGTAACGGTAACTAAAACAACCCTTAAATAATCTTAGATCGTTTTATAAAGGGCGACTTACTTTAGTTTCGGTGTTAAATATATTTCTTTTGCACGCCATACTCATAAACCTTAAGAGCTAACGAAATAGGTTGGATTTAAAGAGGTTATATGTGTCTGTTCTATTGCGATTTAAATGGCTTTTTTTTTAGAATAAATAGCTTTTAAAAATTGGCCAGTATGATATTTTGACAACCTACTAATTTTGTTTTTAAAAACAAGAGATAACAATGTGTTTTTGTGCCACGATTTATTATTTTCCTTTCAATCCTATATTTACACAACCTTCGAATTATTTGTAGATTTTTCTTGCACAGAATTGGTAATGTTTTTACAAACATATAAATCTACTAAAAAAACTCGTAGGTTTTCTATTACATAGTTAAATGTAAAAGTGAAAGGAAAACAGATTTCAAAGTAAATACAACTTTCCAAAGGCTGTCTACAAACGGAAATTTTGTCTTTGATGATTTGTGATGTACAGATAATAATAGACAGGAGATTATAAACCAAACATCAGCTCAAAAAAATCTGCTCCTTGTTGAATTTAGGTAGTTTAGTTTGCCACTTGTAACCTATAGCAGTTCTTCAGAACTATTTGACCCGGTGGGCGTAAGTCAAACTAAATTATAACAGCTCACTAACGCCCCTCTGTGAACGTCAAAAATTGTCACAAGCTTTTCGTACTGTAGTCATGTTTTATTTTTCTTTTATGCCATCTTGTATATCCAAGTCAGTTTTACCTATTTCATGACGGAACTTACCTCGAGAGCAGCACTTTGTATTAGCCCAGATAAGCTTATGACTATGAGTGTTATTGCTTAAAATATTGAAAGGAAAGTGCTTCTAATGTCCTCTCTATAACTCTTAAATTACATCAAATTTCGTTAAGAATTGAAAAAAATTGGTAAACGAGCAATTAAGCGCTTATTTACGTTCTTAAGAATCTTTACCATGGAAGTATTTATTTATATTACCTCATACAAATAATATAGGTCGTCGAACTATGAATAAAATTGGCAAAACTTTATTTTTTTACAAAATTTTCCTTGTAGTGTTTTCCTCATATATTGCGGCGATTTATTATCTACTATCAATTCCCGTTAATCGCGCGGAATTAAAAAAAAACTAGTACTAAATATAGCCTGTCACCCGTGGATAGTGTAGCTTGTGGACAATGAACTGTTTTTTCGATTCTGTTCAGTAGTTTCGCAGCCTATTCAATGTAAATAAAGAAACAAACAATCCAATCTTTCCCCTTTATAATATTGTTATAGATAAATAGTTTAATTGACATATACTACGCATTGTGTTCTTGAACGTGATTTCTTTATATAAAATTAGAGGAAATTTAAATTTTAGGCTTCGGGGAAATCCCTCCATTGGAACGCATATTAAATCACGTTGATATTCTTAGATTGTGTACCGAATACATAATTTCAACTCTATGTTCCTACAAATACAATCGTATTTAGTTTGCAAGCGATGGAATCATTCAGATTTTATTAGACGCCGTCTGCCAAGAGTAAGTTGATTGTTTTTGATTTCTTCATCAAGGTCTGGTAATAAATATTACGTCATAAGCTATTAACACAAGTAATAAAAACCTTATAAATGCATTTTATGTTATTTACGCCAGAAATCCATCCATTCAACGATACATTTGCATTTTTAATATTAGTAAGACGTACTGTACTTTTACAATCGATCCGCGAAGTCAATGCACCCACATGCAACTCATGACATAGTTTAATTTAGTACTATCATAGCTAAAACACACTAGCAGTGCATTAGTCAAATCAATAAAGAATCTGTGGTCCAGTTGAAATCTTCTAAAAAATCTAAAACTTCTACTTAGCTAAGGTTATGAAGTTATTATGGTAAATAAGAAATAACAAAAAAATCAGATATAAGAAAATCATAGCAAATATTTTCAGTGTCTGATAACCACCACTTTTTATTTTTTTTAATTTGAATGTACAGTCAAACAAGTATCAGAGCCTTTCAGAGAGGCGCTGCTATCGTAGATCGTTTTGTCAGAAAATATGTAAAACCAACATGGAAATAGAAAATGGCATAAAAGAAAAAGAAGTACAGTTACAGTACTAGAACGATCTTGCTTTTGACGTTGACAGCTGGTGAGCTGTCATAATTTAGTTTCAATTAAGTCCACCCGGTCAGATATCCTTGTCGATCTATACTTTAAAACTATTAATATAATATATAATCAAGATTATTAACCTCTTTCTTTACTATATAACCTCACAATGTAAACGTAAATCATTCAAACCACGTATCGACCTCATTCCGTTCGACAGGTTTAACAATTAAGTCGAGTCCACAGTTGGTTATTTCGACTAACATGAATAGAATTTTAACTATGTCCTTAAAACAAACTGGTTGTTGGCTTTGTTGACTTTATACGGTATAGAACAGATAACGTACAGTTTCTGTATCTAATCAACTTTAGAGTCGGATTTCCTCTCCTTTAAAACACATCAACAGTCTTATTTCCTTTGAGGAAGAAAAGAAAAATTAAATCAAAAACAAGTAAAACATTATAAATTGCAAATACCCGATAAATTAAGCAAAATTTAATTGAAAAAAAATGATGTGTTTTAATAAAAGATTATCGCAGCTATTTTTGACTGTACAGTCAGGGAATTTCGCGGTGTTCCACTAACAGAAAAATTGTCTTTTTTTCCTTGCAGCGAGACAAACTCCGCACTTTCTTATAAAATAACCAGTAAGGTAACAATAAGTTGTGCAAATAATAAAAAGTATTTAGACGTGTACGTCTAACATATCTTCTTTTGTACAAACACACTAAAAAGCTGCTTCCTTGGTTTAAGAAACATTCAAACGTCTGTCGCGTTTAATGTGAAATCGTCAGTTTCCCTGATTGTACATATATTGTAAAGGTTAGTAAGTCATAAACCTTGGATCTATATCGAGTAATGAAGGCGCGCACTGCTATTTAGAAAACTGTTGTAACCGTATTTCAATTGCAAATACCCAATCAATTAAAATTCGACATAATCTTTGACTTCCAAAGAACAGGACCTATGAATTATATACCTCTGTCAAATAAAAAGTAATAATAAGTTCTAAACTTGCTTGTGTGCTCGTTTATGTGATTTAGAGTCACTATACGTTCGTATACGTTTCAATTTGACGTATATGTCAGCATGACATGTGCCCGTGTGACATTATCTCACTCATCGCGGAAAATAGCAGAATTTATTTAGTACAACAGTTTGCTTAGTCCGTTTCTCTATAGTCAAAGATTAAAACGAATAAACGACATTCCTTTTAAATCCGGACTAATGATTAATAGCGGAAGTACAGTGACCGTGAAAAGTGTTACATATCTTATTCGTAATTAATATTTCAAAAGCGCAAGGCTACAGGTAATTTTGAAGGTAAAGTTTTGGTTGGTCAGAATCGTTTGAATGTATTTAACAAATATTATAATTTAGTTTCTTGAAGTAGTTAAAAGTTCTTTCGATATGAACAAATTCAATGTTTGTACACATTATTTTTTTATATCGAATAAGGTAGCGCTTGGGCACATTAGTCACTATTTTTATACCTTTTAAAAGGTCTGTTTTATAGGATACTTTGTTTACTTATGTAAACAAGTAATAAATAAAAGATAACGTTATTTAAAATCAACAATTTCCCGCCAATTAAGTCGTCAACATGTTACAAAATAATGAAGCATAAAAAATACTCGGTAACGCTTCGGTGGCTAACTGTACTTCTTATATAAATACACTAACATACTCGTTCCTTTTCACACGTATTAAAAACACTGGCAGTAAAGAAATTGGTTTTGACAATTTAATATTTTCGATTGTAAGTTGGCTGCGATGGTATGATCATGTATGGAGGAGTCAGCCAGGATAGGTCGGTAATTTGGAACTACAACTTTCCCTCTAGGTCGCAGATCCAAAGGTAGACGCAAAACGAGATGGAAAGATGTAGTCGAAGACATGAGTGAGTACCACGGATTGGTAAAGCTGCCCCCACCTTGTGGAGTGTGCAAGCTAGACTGAGAGACAGATTTTAAACCAAGAAAGACCTTGTGATCGACAGACTTATGTCATCTCAACAAAGCTAGGACTGTCAGAAGGCCCTGAAAGAATTACGAATATCATTATCCCTGTCATTGTCTTTGACAAAACAGAGACAACACTATATTCTAAACGGGATTTTAGTCTCAGAAATCCGCGATTACTTGTACATTGGAACTTAGGATAGATTAGACTTCAAATACTGGAAAAAATGTCTCTATGTACCATTTCCTCAATTAAACGTTTTGACAAATTCAGTTCAATTGACATTGTGCAAGTTTAGTCATGACTTAGTATTCCAAAGCGTCAGTAACGACCTTAAAATGTCTACCGTTCACTTATCCAACTTCCTTATGTCTTATTTATCCGTATACAAGTCTTTTCACCCGGCTGCACGCGTATTTTGTACTTTTGCAACCGCGACTTGTGAAATCTAGTCACCCTGAAGGAGAGTTTTTGGTGACTTCCGTCCTAACTGTTGTATAAAAGATTTAAACTGATTTTGATGATTATGGTCTCTTTTGATTCGTATTTTTTTCGTAGTTGCATACAGTCAGTCGGATTTCTTGGTTCTTTAATTAAGAAATCTTACTCTTAATCTTAGAATAAAGGTTCCTGATGAAATTTGGCATAGATGTAGAACATAGTCTGGAAGAACACATAGGTATTAAGTGTTTCATGCGCAAACGAATTCACGGGCGATAACTAGTAGCGTTATAATCTAACTTATTTCTATCTTTTTTTCAGATTAAAATGCTACCAAGAAAAAGAAGTATGAATACGTTTATATTGACGGTGTTTCTTCTTATCAAGTACTCAGAACAGTACGGCTCGGGAGCACCTCCTATGGTAAGATAATAGCGCTATTTTCAAATTGCACAGTCAGCTCCATAAATATTCACAAAGCTTTAGAAACTTCTATAGGGCTTGGATTTCATGTAATAATGTTCGGAAGCATGTGATCAGTTATGTGGATATTTATTTATGCAGCTGACTGTACTTGCGTAAGGTGCACCAGAAACTGACCTCTATAAATGGATAGGTGATTGCTTGAAAATGACAGTTCTTACTTAGTTCCTATCACCATCAGCGCCAAAATGTAAATCAAATAGACACAAAATACTACATCTTACAACCAGTCCATTTATAGAGGTCACTGGAACCAGGTATTATAACTGGTACAGTCAGACAGTTTTTTTTTAAGTAACAAAAAAGTTTTTAATACATTTTTTTCCAGGCATGTGTAGACCAGACGCCGCGTCACTCTGGTATACCGGCTCAGTCTTCGGTACCCCCTTATGCGATTTATACTTCATCTCAAGTCCGGCAAGGTGATGTCCTCAATGTAACTATCGGCAGCGCGTTAGGTGCACCTGTAACTATAGGAGGATTTATATTACAAGCCAGACAAGTTCAGGTAACTATCACATAAGAAAAGAAAAAAAAATCTGTGGAGACTACAATTCTTTTAAACATATGAATGTGGAAGAGACTAGAGTTATTGACTTATTAACAGCTCACTAAACATCCCCTCTAAGAGGCTCGAAGTCTACCCTAAGTTAACTATGACTAAGCCATAGTCAACCAAGATGGCGAAGTGCGGGTTGACTTTATACATTTTTGAATTTCTTCGCTGCTATGTGTAGGTTGCATCACTATGTTTTCCATCACCGTTAGAACATCTGATAAATGTAAATTTGTAGATCCAAAATTCACATTGGTAGATGGCAGGATTCTAACCCAGGACCGGCTGATTGCTTAACCTTTGAGCCATTGACACTTTACATATGTCAAGATTTATAATCGCGAGTGTTGTATAAAAATTGCAAATGAAATTAATATTTAATATTTCCTAGAATCCAGATACGATAGTGGGTACTTTCACAAAAGTTCCGAACACAGAAATCACACAGATAATAAGCTGCCGAGGTTATAACGACTCTGTAACACACACCAATCCTGAATCTAAGCCAGAGCTAACATTTCAATGGAAGGCACCTGATGATTACTTAGGAGGGATATTCTTTAGGTGAGAAAATCTTACTCTTCTATTACTTATTACTTACTATTATCTTTAATATTTAAATGCGAATGTTTAGATGGATAGATGTTTGTTTCAAATTATCTCGACAACGGCTGTATGGATCTCTTTAAAATTTGGCATACATATAGAATATAGCCTGGAAGAAGACATAGGCTACTAATTAAGTTTGTTATTACGTGCGGACGGAGTCACGGGCGACAGCTAATCAGTAATAAATGTGTTAAATTTGATTAAATACTCTAATCTCAATAATTATTATATTAACACTTTCAATGCCATACATTAGCCCCGCGAGTTCACTTTAGTAAGAAAGCCTTAGTGGTATCATTATCATCAGCTCGCTATATGTCCCAACCGAGGGGCTCGGAGCCTACCCTAAATGAGTGGTATTGAATTTTAATTTTTAGGGTAGGTAGGTAAGGAACCTCATAGGAAAAAAACGGAACCCTTATAGGATCACTTTCTTTTTTTTATTTTTTTTTAAATGTAAAATATTAGCAGATTTTTTTTGGAAATTTACAAATATTTCTTTTACCATTCCAACTAAGCTATAGGCTTGTGCAAGGATATGGTTTACAATAGTCGAATGGCGGGATTCGAACCCCCGACCTCGTGATCGGAAATCCGTATCCTTAACCATTAGGCTATTGACGCTTTATTTTTCTAATCGAGACTGTCAGGTTTATATGTGATGAATAATATAACAGATTTCCTTTATCAAGAACTTATACTAATATTCATTCCTATTTAAATAACAGTTAAATAATTCAAACGTATATTTGAACAGGGCAACTGTAGCACAGAACTATGCGATGTTCTGGAAGAACGTTGAATCACCTGTGGTGGAAGTGGTGACTCGTGATACTGTGATCACCACCACACAACCACCCGTCACCACAACACCAGCAACAGCACCAGCTCCCACCACACAAACTAATGTAAGCACAATTTTTAGTCATTCAATTTACAACAATCACAGAATTATTTACTTACTTGAGGAGTTTGATAAATGTGCACTCTTTTATTATAAGGGAACGAGTGAATTTGATGGAAGAGGAGACGTATAGTAACTTCTTCTCTTCTGTCCATTAAAGGTAGGCAACGCATCTGCAATTGCAGATGATTATGGGTAGCGGTTGCTTCGCCATTTCAACGAATTCAAGGGCAGCTTCCTTGTTTGCCAATCTTACTAATATTATAAATGCGAGTGTATGGATGGATTTTTGTTAGAAGGTATCTCTAGAACTACTGCATAGATCTCGGTAAAATTTGGCATTGATATGGATGGAACAACAGATAGGCTATTAATTAAGTTTTTTTAAGAACGTGCAAACGGAGTCGCGGGCAACAGCTAGTTATATATGAAAAAGAATCTAATATTTATTATGTCTGCAAAAAATATTTATTATTTTTAATTTTTCTGTATTCCAGAGAAAAACAACAACAGCGAAACCCGATATAATATACCAAGGTTGCGAAGATACTAAATTGTGCTTCGGCGTGCCTCAGAATTGTATAAAAAGTGGCAACTGCAAAGCTATAGTCGCTGTTTTTGTTGCTGGCGACACTTACACATTCGAAATACAAGGCACAGATAATCCTAAATACGTCGCCGCAGGATTGAGCACAGATAATAAAATGGGTGACGACAGTGCCATGGAATGTATACGAAATGACAACGGCAGAGTGTCATTATTTACTTCTTGGACTTATCCTAAAGCGGAACCTTATGTACGAAGATCGGATTCTCCTCAAGATATTGTGCAATTACTAGAATCTTCTATAATAGATGGAAAATTGTACTGCAAGTTTAGAAGGGACACTGTCTCTACTGTAATGGGACAGACATTCGATTTGGCGAATAATAAATATAATTTGATGGTTGTCTCCGGTGATAGTATGAAAGGTTAGTATTTTTATTTTTTATTTAGTCCTCTTATAGATGTAGGGCTTCTTACATTAAATATTTTACGGTAAAGTTTATAAAAATACCATATTTAGTTTTCACTAAAATTTGACAACCCTATTATCTCTAGAATGTTCTTTCCTTCTCTATCTCTTTCTTTGTATCTAGCTCTCTCTTTCTATATCTTCCAGAGGCAGACCGCGTGGGTTTCCACTCCCTCGCATTCGAGTCTACAGGCACTCCGCTCGCTCTGGCCACAGTGGGTGCTCCTGCTGCCGCCAGCAAGCTGCTCATCAAGCTGCACGGCAGCTTCATGCTGCTCGCCTGGCTGGGTAGTGCCTCCATTGGTATACTACTTGCTAGGTCAGTTAATTGTAGTATAATACAAGTTATACGCCTTTTGAATATAAATAGCAAAAACTTTACAGTATTCACGCCAATATGCCCTTTAAATAAAAATAGCAATTATTTGTACAGTACTGTATTTGCGATGGTACCCCTTTCAAATATAAATAGCAATTACTTTACAGTTTTTGCAACAGCGCGCCTTCTAAATAAAAATAGCAATTAAATTATCGTATTCACGACGATACGCCTTACAAATATAAATAACAATTACTTAGTAAACCATGACGTGACGATAATATGTGTAGATTTCATTCTATAGCCGGATTGTCCGATATTTAAAAAATTGTTATTTAAATTCTACCCCTTTCTGGCGGTAGTTATTTTTTTTTTCTTTTTTTAATTTAAAACGTTACTTTTAATTCGTTTTCCTTTTCATTACAGGTATTTCAGACAAACATGGGTAGGAAAACAATTAGGCGGCAAAGACATCTGGTTTGCTGTAAGTATTAATAAGATATAATATTTTTTTAATGTATTTAATTACATACTAAATGTACACTAAGAAACAACATTAAACGACTCTGAATACCTTTACAAGACTTAACTTTTAAAACATACTGTATCATAAATTTTACAGCACCTGTATCGTAACTTTTCGAACAACCTATATCTAAACTTTTAGAACACCTATATCTTGTCTTTTAGAACATCCTATATGTTATTTTTAAATCTACCCACCAGTACCACCGTATCCTGATGGTGTTGACGTGGCTGCTGACGATGTTGGGCTTCATCCTCATCCTGGTGGAAGTGGGAGGCTGGTCTTCAGCGGGAGGCAACCCTCACGCCATCACAGGCATAATCACTGTCATACTATGCTTTATACAGCCGATAGGTACGTAACATCCTGTAACGACTTTTGTACCAACATTTTCAAAAATGTTTCATTCTATAAAGTAATCAATGATTTATTTAAAAAAATACCATTTTATATGTAGTCCATATTAAAACGTCACATTTGACACTTCAAAATCAAATAACATAACCTTGTAACGGCGGGCATGAAATATTTAATATTTTGAAAATAGAACTGCACAATTGTCGATTACATACCTGTTGTTCTCGTCAGACGTCGTTACAATATTACGTCAGTCAACTCTTTCTTTTTAAAAACTATGGATGTTACAAAATAATATACGAAAAAAAATCCCGCGAAAACACAATAAACTGTCATGTCTTTAATGACGTCACACCTTGTTGTAGAATAGAATCATATCGCTATGTTTTTGTTGTACTAAATTTTGAACTATAAAATAATCAACAATAGTGCTGTTTTACGTGACTGCTGATATTTGAAAAGAACTATACATGTATTACAGGTGCATACTTCAGACCGCACCCTGGCACCAAGAAACGACCAATTTTCAACTGGATGCATTGGTTCTTTGGTAACTCCGCCCATATACTCGGCAGTGAGTATACTAAATATTACCTATAATTCTTACTAATATTATAAATGTTTGTATGGATGGATTTTTGGAAGAAATCTCTAGAACAGCTGCATGGATCTCGCTCTTGGCATAGATATAGAACAATCTAGAACTCGTAGGCTGCTAATTAAGTTTTTTCTTAATTCCACGCAGACATAGTCGCGGGCAAAAGCTAACCTATAATTTTTTTAATATTATATTATCAGATTTTTTAATTTAAAAATATTTCTTGTACCATTCCAAGTAAGCTGTAGTCTTGTATTTAGAGGAAGATTGTGCTAGGATTAGGAGTTTTACAAGAGTCGAAAGACGAGTCTCGAACTCTCGACCACGTGATCGGAAATCCGTACCCTTAACCATTAGGCTATTGGGGCTCTATAAATTATTAAAAAAAATTCTAGTCACTCAGAATTTAAAACCACTTTATTTAGAAACTAAAATAAATAAAGTCCGGGAAACTTATTTGGCCTGATAAAGTACCTTTTAAATGCTGTATAATTGAAATACGAATAAAGTTGTAAATATACATAAAACCATATTCCAGTTGTGACCATATTCCTCGCGGTATATCTACAAAAAGCTGAGCTACCGATATGGAGCGTGTACATACTCGCTGCTTTCGTCGCTTTCCATGTCATCATGCATATCATACTATCGGTAAGTAATACAAACATACATACACAACTCATCCAAAGCCATACACAAAAATTTGTAATGCGGTATTTTGGTAGCCATTTTAATATTGCGATTGATTAAAGGAATAATGGTGCTGTATAGACTAGAAATAAACCTATCTTATAAGCCTTCATTAACTGCTGTACTCAGAGGTCTCTTTAGTGGAGCTTTAAATGCTTGGAGTTACTCTAGGATCTACTATTGTTGATATTTAAAAGGATTCAAATAATTTAATGCTCATATCGACTCATTAAATACCTAAACAGTCGATTAAATTTATCATATTAACTGTTGGTTTCTGAAACTAAAAAGTTTTTATAAAACATATCCTCATCCCTGAGATTTGGATCTCAGAAACCCACAGAAAATCTACTCGAATGTATTAGTTATGATGTAACAACTGTAAATAGTAGTAAAAGTATCAAAATGAATCAATCCTAGTAGACTATTAGCAGTAGATAGGATTAGCAATTGGTTTATGTCATCAGTTGACTGTGTGCGTGTCGGAGGGACGCATCAGCAACGGTCGAGTCAACTCATTCCCCATGAAGGATATGATGGGTCAGCCCAGACAGCTCGCGCATGTTGACCGCAGCACTGACGCACCGGTGAGTCATACACACGCATACATTTAGTCTTTTACTCAATTAATCGTACACTCATACACTTACAAACTTAGTATTACACTCATACATCTAAATGATGTCTAAATACTAATTGCTGATATATGACTTACATACCTTCATATACTTAGTCATGCACTCATACATTTAGTCGTAACTCACACACTTAATGGTACACTCATACACTTAGTAATACTCTCATACATATAGTCATACACTAATACATTTAGTCGTACACTCATACAGCTAGTCATACACTCATACAATAATATATTTAAACACTTGGCAATACACTCACACACTTAGCCATACAAGTTTACACACTTGTCCCAGAGTGGCTGTTATGCTATTAAAAATACTTAAACGTACAAAATAACACTGGAGACATAACTATAATTTTTTTTATAATATTTAAGCCCTATAAAATGTGTGTATTGTGTTTTTATTTTGCTTAATGGACTAGATATTAATGCAGCTTAGTAATGCTTGCTTTAGTATTATAAATATTTATTTTGCAATTGCATAAATCACCCATCATTAAATTTATCTTAGGCCTAACTTTATTGAGGGGTATTAAGTCAGTAATTTTATTTTTTTTCTTTCCAGTTCTCCAGTTTCAGAAGACAAGTGCTAAGTATCTATGTACCAATTATTCTAATAATAGTAGTAGCTATGATCTGTTTGGTTGCTTTGGCCCCTATCGCTGACACTTATAATAATATTGCCGGAGTTTGATTTTGACTTTGAATATTTGACTGTAGATATAAAACATTTTAATTCATGACACTTTAAAAATCTTAGTGTGGGTTTCCACTGACGAAATACTTGTATTATATAAGATTTTTTATGGAGTTGATTTTCATAAAACAAAAACCTTACAATTAGCGACGATATTTTTTTTAATAAGAGTAATTTGTTATGCAATTATGCATTCAGGCTTTAGGTAAGACAATTTATTTGCTATCCTCTTTATACGTTTTTAATTTAATCTCTAGGTATATAAACTTTACATTTAAAAAGAGTCCTACAGAAAACATAGTATGAAAAAAAAGAAAAAGTTAAAGCCAATAAGTATGAAGTCAATATTAATGATTTTGTTACATTTTTCATTTAACAATTTTTTTTATGTCAAATAATTTTGGTACATGCATTGTAACAAGCTACAAAACGCATGGACCAAAGATTTGGTCACCATTCGTTTATGATACAAAATTCTTAGGGTTCCTCGAAAGAAAAAAAACGGAACTCTTATAGGATCACTTTGTTATCCATCCGTCTGTCAAGACACTTTTTCTCAGTCACGTGTGAAGGTATCAAGCTGGAATTTATTTTTTATTTGTACAAAAATAATTCTCATTTATTATAATTCGAGCTTATTATAGATTCTAGTAAGTGCACATTTTTTTTTATTTAAGGATACTTTGAATTTTTCCCTATTTATCATCATCAGAGGCACTACAGCGGTGGGTGTACCTTGGCCTTGGCCTTTTGGCTTTTTGTTTCTAGCCATTTACACTATAGAAGAAGGAAAAGCAGCGGTAATTTAGAAAAAATTGTAAAATTAAAATTGATCTTTCATATATTATAATAATGAAATAAAAGGGACAAACAGATAATTTTTAGAAAAAAAAAACTATGTCTAAATACTAATTGCTGATATAATCTACATGCATTTTTCTTTAAACACTAAAAATATTTCAAATAATGGTTTTGGCATTGTATCACATATTCTGTGATGTAAAATCTGTTATTTATACATTTTATATTAGTATGTAAGTCGTTGAAACTTGATATTATGTACTTTTATTTATTATATACACTTTTATAGTATGTAAGAATCACATAACTAAAATCATGGTACTATCTTTTCAATATTAAATTGATGTAAATATAGAATAAATAAAAAAATAACTAGACATAGCAGTTTTATTTATTAAATACGTCATTATGTGTCTTCTTTAGGTATTTGAGAATCTTCAACAGTCTTCGTAAAAGGTATGTACACTTTAAATGAATATTCAGTTCTCGGAAAAGATCCAGGATTAACGACTTGACAGTTTTGATAAGATCTTGTATATGGTTGAAAATGATCAGCAACGACTACTAAATCTGGCATTGGATATAAACTTAATGCATCTGCATGTTTCCAATAAAGAGGTTGTATAGCCAACGACAAAGGTGATAGTGTACATTGACTTAACAAAGTCTTTGTTAAATGGTCTGGAATATCCCCAGTTTCCGGGAAGTGAATTGAATTTCTACACATTTTTGTAACCAAATCCTGTCTTAGAATAACAATTTCTTGCGTACAGTACTGTATTCTACACGGATTTGTCGTAAATATTACTGAATCACCTAATTTCTGTCTGATTTCTTTCGTTATTGAACTAGGAATGGGTGGCCTCGGTAAAATATTGGCTGCAGCGGGATCACTTCTTCCAGGTACGAATATAAATTTACATGTCTCTCTTAATTTATTAAATGGATATAAAACATCAGCTAGATTATTTAGTGCGGCTCTAAGTTGTATACTATGTTCAAAACCGTAGGGACATGATAGAAATTCACCCATAAATACAATAGCTATCGGCGGGAAGTCATTGTATCCGGTAAATAAAGTTTTTAATTTCGATATAACTTTAAGATTATCAAACCAAACATCAGATAAAAATACAAACATACCATCTTCATTTTCCTGTTCCAATTTCAATAGATTCTGTGAATTCTTTAATAATGTTTTTGATTTCCCACCAAATGTATTTAAACTTCCGAAATACGGCAATGAAGTTGCTCTACTTTCCGATGGAGGTAAAACAAGGCCCATGACATGTAGAACTTTGTCATCGTAATAACCTTCAGCAAGTACAAAACTGCTCTCCGTAAATAATCCGGAATGATATCTTGTTTGACTCATATCTAATAGAATACTGCCCGTAGGATCTTCTAGGTAAAACTTTCCTTCAGTTAATTGTGTTAGAAAACCAAGTACAATAACATCATTGATTCTACTTGATGAACTAAGTAATACTTCGATTTTACGTAATTGAAAACGATTTTCACTTTCCATAGAAGGCAATGTTTCTTTGGCAAAGAGTTTATTCCTTATAGTTCTTTGCCAAATTATTGTATATCTATCTAATAACATTTGTGCTTTCCATTTAGGTTCAGGGTACAAATTGTTTTTTGCACCAACATCCTTTAAAAATTTCTTTCTTTCATTATCGTAAGATATTTTGGGGATATTAAATGCATCAATAATATTTATAACAGTCTCACTTTCTTCTAAGCCTAAGGATAAACACTCTTTGTAGGCTACTTCTAAATGTTGTTTTTCTAATACAGGTTGTGAAAGACATTGATGTAAAAGATGTGCCGTAAGTTTGTCAATCATTTTCTGTCGTTCCTGCGGCGTTAAAGCAATAAGTTGCTCCGCAACAAAAGTACTCGCCTCTCTTCGAATTGTAAATCCACTAAGTTTAAAGGCATTATTAACTTCCACACGCACTTGTTGTAAATCACCCATGATGAATTACTTGTTACATAAAACGAAAAAAACTGAATCATTAAATATATTAGCAAAAAATTATTTATAATTGAATACAGTTGACAGGCATTATTTATTTTACTTTTAAATCGATCAAAATATAAAAACTAGAAAACGCCCGCCAAATAATGACACTGACATGTGACAGTTGATGTGGTGTAGGTTTTTAAATTTTTTGAATAGTTTGACATAGAGTACGTACTAAGGTCTATGTTTGAAAGTAAATTATGTAACAAATAAATAGAAAATTATAATTCTGTTGTATTCTTATAGCCTTAGTGAAATTTATTAATAATAATTTGATTAAACACATTAAATCACCGCAAAACAACGTTAGAGTACGCTATAATTAATTTGCTCTATATCTCTGAATCAGTTTGTCAATTTGTCATTCGCATTTACGTCATTGAATTTACCGAAAATTGTTTTTATATAAAAACTTTATATTTTCATATGAAAAATTATTTTGAAAATACTTTTCATTGAGTTACATGTATGTTATTATATAATAAATGCTTGTCGCTTAATCTAAACTTACTTAAACGGCAAATATCTGTTAGTACATTTCGTAAAATAAAAATCTTTCATAATATTTATTTTATTTATGATAAAATAACCGATTCTTTAACATTTTTTAAGAAACAAATAAAGAAGATGGACAGTTTACGACATTTTCAAACATTTGCGTGGTAAGCTTTGTAATTTTCATATATTATTCATAATTGCAGTATTTTAAGTTTTTCTATTAATATAAACCAGTTAACAGTTAAAATTTGCCAGCGGTCAATTTATATTTGCAATATTGTGTAATAATAGAATAAGGAAAAACCATATAAAACAGATAAATCTTGCATCAAGATTAAAACATTCTTATAATAAAGACAACAATATAGCTTTGCAAAAGCAGTTTGAAAGTATGTAACTTTTAAAACGAAATCATTACTTTTTTGTTCCCCTGCTCATCTGCCCCTTCTCTCAGAAAAAATCACATCTTTTTCATTCTTATAATTTGTATGTTAACATGTAATAATTTGTGTCAAGTAGTGTCAATAACTCAGCATGTTCAGTACATTATTCTGACCACTAACTGAAATACAATGACTAATTTTTAAAGTAAGACATAAACACAATGCTAAATACTGTTGAACCTGGATAAGAGAAAAAAGTATCCTTTTGAATTCTTTCTAATCAAGGTTCAATTATAACATATTCATTCAATGAGTTTATATTATGTTTTATTATATCCATTAAATATCAACATAAAGGAAAGTTATAGGGTGTGCTTACTAAATTGTTATACAATATTACATTAGTTTTATCAAACAATCCGCAGGTGTAAACCGGATTGGTGCTACCCAAGTATGGGTAAAGAAACAAATGAACTATTAAGGCAATGCACAGATCTGCCTGCGGTCAAACTATCAGATGATGTTGAGGAGATTATAAAGAAGAGCAAAGCATTCCCAATACCATTTCCTATTGAGACAGTCAGGTAATTTATATCATCAGCTTACCTACCCTAAGTTAGGGGTTATTAGGCCATAGTCAACTATGCTGGCCCAGTGCTAGTTGACTTTGCACATATCTTTGAATTTCTTTACAGATATATGAAAGTTGCATCACAATGATTTCCTTCACCATAATAATTTTGGATATATGTACATATGTAAATTGAAATCAAAAAACACATTGGTACATGGCAGGATTTGAACCCAGGACCTGCAAGATTACAAGTCAAGTGCTTAACCCCGAGTCACCAAGGGTAATTTATATGCAAAGTTTAAATAGACTTGTTCAGGGGTGACAAACCTTTAAGTATCAATGTCTTATTTTTATGAAGAAATCTACTTACTTTTTTTCCATAGTGAATAATGAATTTTTGTAGGCATTATTTTGAAAAATTGATGAAAGATCAGCATACCAATGTAATTTTTATATTTATTGAGCTTCAGTTCTTGAATGTTATGGATTTCTTTAAGTTTATAAAGAAATTGTTCAATTTTTATGCTATAATTAAATAACATAAACCTTATATCTCAACACTCCATGTAGTCTTAGTATGTGTTATATTGTTTTTTACACAGATTAGAAAAATTACAAGTACGGAGGTCTATTGAGAAATTGAAGAGAAATATAGTCTCTACTTACCCACTTATACATGAGAGAGTTTTGCTTCTTATGACGCATTTTCTTATATATAAAAGGTAAGATCACATAAAAACGTGGATAAGTGACATGCAAAGAAGATATTTTCTTGCTTATAGAAGTGTTTCTCTAACCTGAGTTTCTTGCTGCCGGAGTTAGTCTATTGGGACCTGATGAGGTCTTCGCTTATGGAGGTTTCACACTATTTCTCAGCAATCCTCTCTATATATATATATTTCTAGATAACTATTAGCAATATGTGTGTTCTCATGTGTTCTTCCAGACTTTGTTGTCTATGCCAAATTTCAGCGAGTTCCATGCAGCCTTTTTAGTGATAGCTTCTAACATCCATCCATACATCAAAACATTAGCATATATAATATTAGTAAGTGTTTCTTATGAGAAAAATAAAGATCTTTAAATCTATATTTAATTTAATTTTCAGAGAGTTTGGTACAAGTATTGACAAATTGCTATACAAAGAAATGACAGTGCCGGAGCTTATTGATAGAATATTGAAGAAACGAGCTATCACGTTCATGGGCAGACATGATACGTACAAACTTATCACCGGAGAAGAAGGGTGAGTTGACTTATGTAATACTAGCTGTAGTCTGCGACACCGTCTGTGCGTAATTAAAATAAAACTTAATTAATAGCCTATGTGTTCTTCCAGACTATGCTTTAATGTAATCCATTAAGTCGTTTTGGAGATACCTTTAAATAAACATTCATCTATCCATCTAAACATTCACATTTATAATATTCGTAAGATTTTTATGATTACCAGAAAAAAAATAACATTACCCTTTGGTACTGATCAAATTTAAGAAATAAAAAATGCTGGTCCCTTGATTAAAAAAAATATATTTTTTTATTATTGGTCGATGGTAATAAATATATCCGTATGTACACACAAAGATAATGCTTTGAATAATAGTTTTCGCACATTCTATAGAGGCTGGAAATACATTTATCCATTCCCTCATTCATTTCATTCCGCTTCAACCTAGACATTTTCATTAATAAAATGACTTGTAGTATATTGTCTGTGAAAACCATTATGACCATAATTTTACAGGATTAAAAATAAATCAATTTGTTTTAACTTTTTATCAACTTAGTTTAATATCAGCAAGACCATGACTAGCTCTTATTTTGCGAGGGAGCAGGACATGGATTTAGTCCAGTCAACCCAACTCTCCGAAGAATCCTAACAAACCCATGGTCTTGGTGATCTCTGTGAGATATTTTACCCTGTAATCTGCACTGCCAGGCAATACAGTATCCCGTGGACCATTCATCATGCATGCACTGCTGGCTATAATACCTTTTTTTTTAAGATCAAAAGGTGGCAAACGAGCGAACGACCACCTGAAATCGCTGGAATGGCGAAGTGACCGCTGCCCACAGACATACGCAATTGCATATGCGTTGCCTACCTTGAATCGACGGAGGAGAGGATGCACAGAAAGAAAATATCTTCCCTTTCCATGCATCCTCTCTTCCGGAAAGTCCACTTCCACTTCCCATCTTTTCCTTATAAAGAAAAGGATGGGAAGGGAAAAAAGGAAGACCTATATTATAATATAATTTTTGTATACAGTCATGGTGGTTGGGAAACAATAGGAACGTTACAGCAAAAGCCACCGTTAGTGTTAGAGAATTGTCTAAGCTATGATGAGATGAAACTTGCCTCTATGGTATATGTCAGTGGATATACAGAGTGCATCAATGATGGTGAAAGAAAGAACTCCGGAGTTGTTCAAGAAGAGAATGCAGAAGAAGATGCTATAATTATAGGTAAGTTAGTGTAATCAGTGTCCGTGTGGAACTAGAAAAAAAATTATGAATAGCCTATGTGTTCTTCCAGACTATGTTCTATATGTATGCCAAATTTCATTAAGATATCTCCGGAACAGCCGCTGAGCTGTCCCGGAGATTCTTTCTAACAAACATCCATCTATATAAACATTTGCATTTATAATATTAGTAAGATTATATTTAGTAAGTCATCTTAGTAACCTTTAGTGTCTTGTTAACCTTTTGACAGCCATTTTGATATAAATAGATTAGAGGTAAATTCCCAGACTTGGCGTCTGTAAAGCAAATTCATATGTGTACCCTAATGATATTATTTAAATTATTCACCAATAATATTAAATCAATTCACCAAGATTTTTTTTTTAATTTCATTTCTGTAATTTTAGGGTTCCGTAGGAAGAAAACGGAACCCTTATAGAATCACTTTGTTGTCAGTCCGTCTGTCTGTCAAGACTCTTTTTTATATTAATATAAGTAGTATTTTCGAGACTTTTTTCTTGCGACGCTAATACGACATGATGTTATAAGTTTGACGTGTCTGTGTGTCTGCCTATAGCATCGTACCTCCTGAACGAATGAATCTGTAGGTGACCTCCTACATATTCCCAAACGCAACAGTCACACATACACACACATACATCACACGCATACTACAACACTCACACATAAACACGGGTGCATGACGAGTGGTCGACGTCACGTCGATTTGTTGACCTCTGATTGGCAAATTCGAATTGCAACGCACAGCTGAGCGGGGGTCACTGACCGGTTTTGCATACGCGCAAAACGACAGTGGAGTTCCGCAGCGCCCGCGACATACCACGCTTTCGATTACGCAACTTGTTACTTTGTTATCCGAATTTGTGCATTTCTCTTTCTCCTACTTGTATTCTTCTTCTCAGTGTTGTACTCTCCTTCTTATTATTTGTTGTGGACTGTGAGTGATAATAAACTGTGTTGTGAATATAACTGTGCCTCATTTCACCTGTCGCCGCACTCACCCTTCACATCATCATCACTCGCACCTTCCCACACAGGAGGTGACACCACGTCATCCCCTTCCCCTTCATTGGTGACCCCGAGGAGCACTAAGATGAGCAACACCGAAGACGAATTCCAGGAGGCACGGATTTTGCAAAATGAACCTTCTGCCCATGTATGTAAGGTTGGAATTCGCATACCACC